ATCACCTAAGAAGTCCAGGCTCCATCAAACTCCCAGCATCACCTAAGAAGTCCAAGCTCCATCAAACATCCAGCATCACCTAAGAAGTCCAGACTCCATCAAACTCCCAGTCTTCTTGCTGCAGCCTGTGGTGCCCCAGGTGTGTGCCACCATGCTCAGTTGTTTTTTTGTTTTTTTTGTTTTTTTTAAGAGAAAGTCTCCCCATTTTGTTCAGGCTGGTCCAAATTTCCTAAGCCCAACTGATCTTCCCACCTCAGTCTCCTGAGTGTGAGGATTAAAGGAGCTACCACTGTGTTCATCTTAGATACGGTATTCTGATCCACAGAACTAACGTAACAGCTCACCGATTATGAGGTGCTGAAGAAAGATGTAAGTAGGTATCTTATGATGGTGTTGCCTGATAAACAGCAAGTCTCTAAGTGTACCGGGAGGAAAATTGATTCACAGTGCTGTAGTAGAGATTGTTTATCTAATTTACTAGATCTAAGCCAGTTCACAGTCCTAGACCAGAGCCTTCTGAGTACATGAGAAGCCAGTCTCTACCATACAGCCTCCTGAATCTATTTTCTGAAACTAGTCAGGAGGGATTTGCAGTCTGACTGCCAGGTCACTATCCATCTGAAAACAAGAATAAAACAGAACACCTGAACCTTCTTGGAGTCATCAAAGCTTGGTTCTTCTGGACTAGCAGGATATCTGAACTCTCCAAACATCACCACAGTGCAGTAATCAGGAATGAAGTCTTTGGAGATCATGTCATTAAATGACATCATAGATCAAGTATATTAGAATAGGACTAAGTTTACTAGTATAGCCCTATAATATAATATACATATATAGGAATAATAGGTCCCTGTCTAGCGAAGTAGGAGCAATTATGGTGCCACAGGTAACAGATAGCTCTGGACTGCTCTTTTTTCCATTCCAGGGGAGTAAATCCAAGCAACCAGATATCTCTCATGGTTACAGAAAGTAATGACACATAAATATGAACAATGACCACCAGAAGTTCTTCTGCCAGACTATATGTAGGCATCTGTCTTGTTGGTCTATTAATTCTTCATTTACCTACCTTCCTTTTAACATCAATATTCTCAGTTCCCTCATTTATAAAGCTAGGACTGAAATCTTATCTACTTCAAGAGGGTAGGGTGACGGTTCAATGAGTTAATATACATATACCTTAAGGAATGTCTTACATACAGTAAGGATTCACCTAACATGCACTATAATGCAGCCACACTGACTCTACTCCTCTTTAGTAGTGCTAAGCTTGAGAGCCTAGTCGTATCTTCCCTATTCTGCAGGAATAACATCTTAAAAATACTCCCTAATTATTCCAAGTTCTCTACATAATCTGCCTAATGTGTTCTACCCCCAAAACTCAAAATAAATAGCAATCTGTGACAAACACTACAAGAGACCTTCCATAAGTGAGAAGCTGCTCTAATGTCATTTTTTAAGGATCTTTACAAATCTAAAATTCTAAGACTGCTTTGAAAGTTACATTTTCCTATCTTTACAGTTAATCCTAAGCTTACACTTATAGACACATAAGTCAAGTCTAACGAGGAAGCTGACACACTCTTTCAAAGAAAGCATTTCTAAGATGTAGTCCATTTAATTCATATAGGTTCTTCTGAGAAAGTACAATAAAGAACTTAGGTTTTCAATGATTCCCGCATAATAGGTTTTACCAAAAATCAAAAAAAAAGGCGCTATTCAAAACCTCACCACAAAGCAGTACTACCTAAACCATATCAGTGAAGAATGAGAAAGAGCAGGTCCCTTAGACGCCAAGTCAAGTCAATGTGTGTACATTTTAATTTGTTCATGGGCTAAATCTTACTAGAGGTTTATTGTTGTCTAATGCACACAATGTAAAAGCACTTGACTATAATGATTTTGTACTCCATGACATGCTTAATAAGTATTAAACATTTTAATCTGGAAAAGAAGTGGGGAGAACTGAGGCAATACAATTAGCAAAAGGATATGATAATCAAAGAGACTTGAATTCTAGTTTCTCATTCTTGAGGCACCATCATCTGGAAGATTACAGAATCTCTAGGAACTGCGAAAGGCTGACTTATACTGTTTACGGGGACTGGGAATGATCTTACCACAACGGATTTTCTCTGGAAGTTTATGTTGTTGATACAGACGACCTGATGGGTTGTATATCAAAAAGAAAGAAAACGACTGTTATTAAATAAAAGCATAACTGTATCCAAGTACAAATAAGATCTAAGTTCTAAACAGCTAACTTGCTAAGTTTCTATCTTCAAAGCCTACTAGGTGAGTAATCTTATTTTAAATCTAGCAAGAGCCATGGAAAGGTTTGTATTGACAAAAACACAGCAGTGTTTTAAAAGGGGTTTATGAGCCTGCAGGGGGGCTAAGCTGAATATTATTATATAGTCATTCAAAACATTTTTATGCTGCAGACACCAGGTCCACTGGAGTGAACGCTCAGTTTCCCAGATCCATCAAACCTTTCATAGAAACAATGGGAACAAAATCAAAGAAGGGCGAGAAACTGGGGTGGGAGGGTGTACTTATAATTTGTACGGCCGTGGGCTCTCGAAGCCCTTGTCTCCTTTCTTCCTGTTCATCCTGGAGGTCTCTATGCCGGTGGGCGGCATGAAGCGCTCCCGCGCGGCTCGCCTTCCCGGCTGCTCGGGGGACTGTGGCGCATTCCCGGGAGCGGCCCGTGCACCCTGAGTGCCCGGTCACCCGGCCTCGGTCTCGCGTCCCCTCCTCGGCCACTCCCAGCCGCCTCCGCCAGGTCCCTGTCACACAAATGAGCCGCTCTACAGACACTCAAAGCCTCCGACGGCCGACATCTTGCCGGTCACCTCTGACCCGCTACGTCAGAGGAAGTGGGACCGGGAGGAGGCGGAACCCGGAAGTTTTGTCCTGGTGTCTGTAGGCGGGGCTTGTGCGGCGAAAGGTTTGATTGTTTTCTCTCTCGTCTCCAATAGCTCTAAAATTTAGGAGGGCAGAGGAAAGCTTTGCTGAGTGAGAAGAGAAGAGTGGGAAGGGAAGGAGAGGACGTTAAGTGTGGAGGACAAGGAGCCAAGTATAACCGTGGCGAGGGACTAGGAACTAGAAATGGTCCCCAAACCGAGACGTTGTGCTGTCTCAATAGCAAACTCAATCCATTTGTACCCTGTAATTTAATGTAATTAGACCGCAGGGGACTCTCAAGTCCCGAAGTCCCAAAACCTCAGCATTTCTTATGCACCTACAGATATAAATCAAATCACACCCACAAATACAGAAAGCATTATTTAAAGACATCTTGAAAGCCATTGTATTTGCATTTCATGTTCTTGAGGGTCAAAGTGGCAAACCAGTATCTGTTAATTGCCTATTAATTGTGAATTGTCCATTAACAGTTTTTGCCACCTTCATAGAGTTAACTTCTCTTACCCTTTCTAATAATGGTCCTGTTGACAAGTTCACTAGCTGATTTTAAATTATTTGAACTTTGATCTAATCCAAAACTAATCAGGAAAATAAAGCCATAGCTTTAACATACCTTCCAAAACTAGAAATTATTTGTCCCCAATGAACATTTGTTTATTAAACCCACAAACGATAAAGGCAGAGTTCATAAATGCCTGCCACAGCAAGCCTCATGCAGGAGCACTTCCTCGCTCTTTCTCATTTGCTGGGAGGATCCTCAGACTTAGATTATTCTCTACAAGTATGTAAGACCCAGAAGATAAGTGCTGGCCTTGTTCCCAGTTAGCGTCTTCTCGGAAAGTAGAAGAGAGTGCAGTGCTATTGGAAACTTTTTGCTGTTTGAAAGATACACTGAGGTGAGCTCACTTCTTTCTATGGAGGTGCCAGTCTGCTTAATATCTTTGCTCAGAAAGCTGTCTGGAAAGTCCTATGAGCATCTGTGGGCTCCCTGGCTTCCAGAAAGCTGGAGGCGACGATCTCAACTTTTGTACAGGAAACAAAAGTCTGTGTTTTCATGATACACATACATGTAGTTGAAATGAGGTCTGTGGTCTGGTTAAGGTCAGTGGTTGAGTCAATGTTGCTGTCAACCTCTCCACCAGTGGTTCTCAACCTTCGTAGTGCTGTGGCCTTTTAATACAATTCCTCATGTTGTAGTAACCCCAACCATAAAGAAATGTTTGTTGCTACTTCATACCTAATTTTTCTACTGTTATGAATCCATATTGATATACAGCCTCCAAAGGGGTCATGACCCACAGGTTGAGAACCACTGCTCTAGACCACCAGTTAACACCACCTCAGTTGATTCTGATTGGTCACTAGTTGAGTTTAGTAGGTCAGTGGTTGAATCTAGTAGGCCTTCACTGATTGGGAATAGTAGGTATACTAGTCAGGGTTCTCTATAGTCACTGAACTTATGGAATAAGTTCTCTATATATATGTGTTTATACGCACACACACACAGACACACACATATGAGAATTTATTGGAATGACTTACAGGCTGCAGTCCAGTAATGGCTAGCTATGAATGTAAAGTCCAAGAATCTAGCCACGAGGCTGGCTGTCTCAGCCGGTCTTCTGCCGATGCTGGAATCCCGAAGAAGTGGGTGCCAGTGCCATTGAAGTAGTGGATGTCCTGGCAAGGCGAGGGCAAGCGGATGAAGAATGAACCCTTCTTTCTCCCATTGTCCTTAATTCAGCTTCAGAAGGCGTGGCCCAAATTAAAGATGTACCTTCCAGCCTCAAAGTCTGGATTAAAGGCAGGTAGGTGTCTTCTAGCCTCAAGATCCAGATGACAAGTGTGCCCTCCATTTCTGGAGTTTAGTCCACTCTAGACATAGTCCAGCTGACAAAGGACGGCCATCACAGGAGGTCATAGTTGAACCTCGTAGGTCTTCACTGGTCAGGTCTAGAAAGTCAGCATTGATGGCGTCTATGTGCAGACTGGGGGAAGCCGCAGCCAGAACACACAAGACAGAATGCTGGGATTTTACAGAGTATGGGGCCTCGATGAGAGTTGGGGCAACCAGGGAACAAAAGGAAGGGCTGACCAAAACCAGAAGTGATTTACAGTTCTCTAGTGAGTAAAGCTGTGTGGGGGACTGGACTGTTCCTCTAGTGTCCTTCACAGAAGATGCAGGCTTAAGCACAGTTTAAACACAGTGCACAGTGAAGTAAACAGAGGCCAGTGTCACGCCAAATTCAACAATGTAAACAACTAATTCAAAGGCTCCCACGGGTGATGGCTGTTCTTGGTTGTCAACCTGACCACATGTGAAATTAACTACAATCCAAGCAGATTGGTACACCCCTGAGAGATTTTTTCTTAGTTAAATGTCTGAAGTCAGAAGACCCAACTTTAATCTGGATCTTTTGAGGTGGGAGGATCTACCTGTAGTGTGGGCCACACCTGGTGGCAGCCAGTATAAAGGGCACGGAAGAAGGAAGCTTTTGTTCTTTGTCTGCCTGCTCTCACTCTTGTTGGCAAGTTCATTCCTTCACTGACATTAGAACCTACTTCTTTCAGATTCTGAAGGATACTGAAGACCAGTTGTGACATCCAACCTCACGGACTAAACAACTACTGGATTCTTAGACTTTTCATTGGTAGACAGCCATTGTTGGACTAACTGAACCACAGTCTGTGAGCCAGCTGAATCCTGCCTAATATATAAATATACCACTTAATTTAGAAATACCTTTTAACAGACTAAAACTTTATATGAGACTATTACTGATAGTTATTTAGAAAACTTTTAAAGTATATTAATAACTAGGACACCAAATCTTAATTAAAGATATGGAGTTTATATGTGAAAAGCAGAACAGACTTCAAAGATATAATGAAATCATACAGACTTCAAGATATAATGAATATAGGTTTTCTTTTTTCCCCTCCCTAAGACAGGGTTTCTCTGTGTAACCTTGGCTGTCCTGGACTTCACTGTAGCCCAGGCTGATCTGAAACTCAGAGATTCACCTGCCTCTGCCTCCCGAGTGCTGGGATTAAAGGTGTGTGCCACCACCACTAAGTTTTAATTTTTTTTCCCTTGTATTTAGTGAGCATTATAAAAATGTAACCTGAAGTATATGGAAATATCTTATTGCACCAGAGAAATAAAAAAGGATAGTAAATTACAAAATGGCAAAGGGGAGAAAAAGGTATTCAAAGAGTTGGTTTTAAAAACCAAGAATAGGGCAAGTAAGAGGGCAGGTAAAGGTGCTTGCTGAGCAAACTTGGAAACCAGCATTTGATTCCTGAACTAGAAAGGTGGGAGGAAAAACAAAAGACTACAAGAAAGTCCTCTGATCTCTACATGCATGTTGTGGTATATGTACCCATGCACACATCATATACATATACAATAATCATAAGTAAAATTTAATCTTTTAAAAAAGTCAAGGATAAAAATAGGCAAGAGAATCTTTTATTATATCCAGCAACTTTATGAAGCAATTTAGTCCTTCCAAAAAGTGTCCATTCTTTCTTTATTTCTCGAGATAGGGTTTCTCTGTAGCTTTGGAGCCTGTCCTGGAGCTCGCTCTGTAGATCAGGTTGGCCCCAAACTCAGATTCACCTGTCTCTGCCTCCCGAGCACTGGGACTCAAAGCATGCGCCACCACTGCCCAGCGTGTGGCATTCTTTTAAGAAATGAGTCTTCTTGAATTATAAACTTTCACACCATTTTGCATTGAAGAACGAGAATATTTAGTAAGTAATGCACCTACAGTTTGCTTCTCTCCACACAAATCTCTGTGGGAATAAAAATAAATAAATTCCATGAATATTTTAGGGAACATAAAATGATAACAGTACTGCTTAGTTTATCTCTACCTCCTAAAGCCATTTTCTTTTTGTTTTTTGAGACAGGGTTTCTCTGTGTATCCCTAGCTGTCTTGGAACTCTCTTTGTAGGGCCAGCAAGATGGTTCAGCAGAGAAAGGTGCTTGCTGAACAAACCTGGCAATCTGTGCTTGATCCCTGAACTTGCAAGGTGGGAGGAGAAAAAAGGCTACAAGAATGCCCTCTGATCTGTACATGCATGTTGTGGTGTATGTGCTCATTCACACATCATGTACATACACAATAATCATAAGTAAAATTTAATCTCAGGCTGGCCTCGAACTCAGAGATCCACCCCTGCTTCCCGAGTAACGGAACTAAAGGTGGGTGCTACCACACCTGGGTTAAAACCATCGTTCTAATAGCCCTGTGAAAAGAACAGTGAAAACTCTGTTGTGGGATAGTTGTACACTGTGGAGATGTATTTGCTGTGATTGGTGGACTAAAAAGCTGAACAACCAATAGCTAGGCAGGAGGTATAGGTGAGACTTCCAGGCAGAGAAAGAGGAAGGAGATGAAGCTAGGCCCAGAGTCAGAAGCCATGGAAGAAGTTGGATATACAGAATGAAAGAAAGGTAAAAAGCCACAAGGCAGAACATAGATTAATATTAATGAGTTCTTTTAAGTTATAAGAGCTAGTGGGACAAGCCTAGGCTAAAGCCAAGCTTTCATAATTAATAAGTCTCCATATCATTATTTGTGAGCTGGTGGACAACAAAGTTTGCTGCACCACTATGTCTTCATTGAACTAGGTAGATTACATGTATCATTTCTTTTAACCCTTACAATAGACGTTATGAGTCATTCAACTGTTAGATATTCGGAAACAAACCGAGGCAGTAAATAAGGTTCAAATTTTGCCATCATGTATGACTTCAAAGTCCCATGTTATTTCCATTATATCACGTAATCTTTCAATTAGAAATAGAAGCAATGGGATATGGAGGCATCTAGAGTCAAGCCAAGCATGGGCTTGTCTAGACTGCCTGCCCTTCTTGGACTTCAGTTGATGTACCTCAAAAAGAAGACTACCTGAAGCATAATGAGGAAAGAGAATATAACATGACGGGAAAGAGAGATGGATCACAGAGGGCCATAAAGTACACAGAAAGGGCTTGCAATTCAATTGTAAATATAATGCAAAGGCTAATAGCATTTTAAACAGTAGAAAAAGCCTAATATGATCTGAGGTTTAAATGATGGAGGAAATGAGTTGATTATGGAATCTTGGCACCAAGAACAAAGAAGACTCATTATATTGATACTTTTCAATGTTTAACAATCAGTGGGTCATGGTAAACATCAACACTGAAACAGAATAAGGAAGTCACTGTATTTATTCAGGCCTGGATGAAGGTACCCACAGAAACATGAGCAAAAAAGAGAATGTAGCTGAGCCTATTGGCACAGGTTTGTAATCCTGTAATCTTAGCCTCTGGAGGGTAGAACAATCACAGATTGAGGTCCTAACTGCAATACGAGTGAGTTCCAGTCCTACTCAAGCAACCTAGTAAGAACCTATCTCAAAAAAGAAGGAGGAAGAGAAGAGGGGGAAGGAAGGAAGGAAGGAAAATTTAAGAAGGATGAGGGTAATGAGATGGTTCAGCAGATGAAGGCATTTACTAGCTGATGGCCTGAGTTCATTGAACTCACAGAAAGAAGGAACCAACTCTTAAAAGTTGTCTGATTTCCACATATGAGCTGTGACACAAACCCCTCCCTCTCCTTCATACAAATAAATGAATAAATAGGGCTGAAGATACAGCTCAGCGGTAGAGCACTTGGCTAGTTCAATCAGGCAGTTTCTTATGAAGGAGAGAAAAGGACATGGGGTCAGTAGGTTGCTTTGTAGTCTGGGTGACACTATAGGACATGTGTGATGGGGATGACCTAGTGAGGGAGAAAAGATAAGCCAGGTCTTGGACTGGACCAGAAGAGATGGTTCTAGTGCAGAGGAAGGACTGACCTCAATAGGAGGAACAGTGGAACTGGAGAGATTTCTCAGTGGTTAGGAGCACTTGCTCCACAATCATGAGGACTGGAATTTAGATCCCAGCACTCATGGTACCAATCTGGCTGTTATGTGTGGGGGTGGGGCACCTGCCTTCACCACCACACACATACCCACACAAGAATGTGCATGTGCACACTCCCACATGCACAAAGATTAGTAGATAATCTTTGTATAATATACAAGATAAATATGAGTATAAAAGAAGAAAAGAACAATGCTACAAGCAATGACGTGGACAGCAGGGAAGACAGGAGTTGTCAATCAATGAGTAAATACACCCTTTGTGACACAGGTATATTTGCCCCCCTCCCCCCCAGAGAACTGTGATTTTGTCTGGAGGAGAGCAGAGAAATGATCCAGAAGGAATGCGAAGGAAGAAAGAGAGCCCATATTCCACCTTCAGGATGAGTAATCAGACAATGGGAGGATGCCGTCTGAGGAAGTTTCAAGGGACACAGTATCCTCGGGGACTACCCAGCAATGTCGTGTTCAGGTCATAAATCTGAAACCCCATGCCACATTTTAAGGAACACCATAACCCATAACGAATGAATTACGTACTGGATATATGGAGCGATGTCTTCTTCTGTCCACTTTTCTCTGAGGGAGAATAGACTATTGAAGCGCTCCTGTGTTCCCTCAGGCAAATCGTCCACTTTGAGCAAGAATATGATTTCTGGTCTTGAGTTTCTATCCACCAGTGCTAAGCCCTACAAGAGACAAGAAGAAAAAAGGCAGTTAAAGTAAAGACCTCATATTTAAATATGACTCATTTCTTTTGCCATTAGATTTAGCTCAAGGAATTTAAAATACCAGTTGTCGCCAGTGATCAGTCATTGCCAAATGCCTCTTCCTCGGCTTCTTCACTTCACCTCACCAGCCCCTTGCTAATGCCCAGCACATTTTCCCTCTCACCTCTCTCCCCCTCTGACATCACTGCCTTCTTCTCAGTCTTACTGCCCACATCGATGCCCAGACGTCCACCCCATCCCATTACCTCTTTCTCCGCCTGACCCGGGGACCTCATCCTACCCCACAGCCTGCAGCGCCCTTGCTCATGAGAGTAACATTGGCATCCTCTACTCAGATACCTCTTCTGAGCCCGAGAGCCACACGTCCAGATGACAGTGGACACCCGCTCCACTCCCACTGCCTTGGGGAAACAGGAAGTCTAGAGAACCTAAATTCTGGTATCCAAATCCCATACCTGAGTGGTCAGGAGTCGCTATAAGACTTCTCTATCTGTCACCCGGTGCCTGTTTCTTTTTGTTTCTTACATTTTTGAGTGTGCATGTGTGTGCAGTGTAATGCAGAGGAAATGTGTGTACTCAAAAGCACACATGTAGAAATCAGAGAACAAATTAAGAGTCATTTCTCTCTTTCCTCCATGTGGGTCCTGTCAGGTTTGGTGGCAAGCACTCTTACCTACGGAGTGCCATTTCTTGCTTCCCACTGTTACCTATTTGGCCAGCATTATTTAGGGGAGGGAGCTGTTTGTTGGCTTGTTTGTTTCCCCTCCCCCCGTTTTTGAAGCAGGGTCTCCTCTAGCCCAGAATGACATAACCTCAGTGTGTAGCCAGGGTGATCTTGAACTCCTGATTCTCTGGCCTCTACCTATATGCTGCGGATTAAAGGCATACATCACCATGCTTGATTCTTTATGGGGTGCTGGGGATTGAACTCAGGGCTTTGTGGGTACTAGGCAAGTGTTCTACCAACGATGTCACACCTGCAGCCCCAACAGCTGTCTCTAAGTACTAGGGGAGTTAAAGGACTTTGTGAGGGGGCAGACGAAGACTGTACTCTGTACCCTAATGGGTATTGAGGAAAATAAAATATCTCCCAATTGAGCTCCAGGACACAAGTGACATCACCTAGTCAGATGCCCCTTGGGGAATCCCAGGCACAGCCCCCATCAGCCTAACCTTGAGCTGATCAAGCCGAGTTGTCATTCCCTCGGGGACACTCTGCTGCCACACTTCCTGAAACTCAGCGAGGTTAAACTTCACGGCATTCTGCAGGAGCATCTCCGCTGTCACTCGGCATATTTTGTCAGCGTTCAATTCAAAATAAACTTCATCTAAGGAAATGGTATCAGATAGGTTCACAACTTTGTTTAAAAAATGGCATTTGTTTATACCCGTGTGGGCTTACACATGCCAGCACATGAACGTGGAGATCAGATGACAACTTTCAGGAGTCTGTTCTCACCCTGTACTGGGGATAAAACTCAGGTCATCGGGCTTGACTCGGCCATCTGACACGGTACTATCTTATTATTCAATACAATATTTGCACCTCCTTTACCTCAGCAGAATGGCTTGAAGGGATCCTGTACCTCTGTTCACCTCCCACAGTTCCACCGTTCTTATTAACACCAACACCCCTATTTACCATACAAGTTAAAGTGTCCGATTAGAATATTTTCCAGTCTTTACCTTCATCCACATATTTCTTTCCATAGCAGTTAAGACAGTGTTCAATCATTTCCCTGGAAGTTTAAAACACACAAGAAAACTTCTCAGCATTTTATAAACATTTTAGACCCAGTTGCTAACGATAAGTTCAGATATAAATTAAGGATTTGAAATAATAAATCAGTTGGATGATAAACAATACTTAAGAACTAAGTTAAATATTCTGGGAAATGCCACATAACAGGGCTGTGCTACACATTTTGTATGAATTATGTAGTCTACTTTTATTGTGATACAGTAGCTCAAATATAACCATTAATTTTTTAGTGACCAAAATAAAAAGTAGAAAAGATGAAGCAGATTTATTCACCCCAAAGTGACCCAAAGTCTCCAATCCTTTCTGGTCGTCTATTTTTAATTTTCTCCCCCCTCTGGGCTACGGAGCAGCTCAGAGGTTAAGAGCACTTGCTGTTGTGACAGAGGACCCAGTTCAATTCCCAGCCCCAATGGTGGCTCAGAACCACCAGTTAACTCCCGTTTCAGGGAACTGGAGCCCTCATCTGACCTCTGTAGGCCGCAGCCTTGTACCTAATGCACATACAGAAATGCAGGCAAAAACTCATAGGCATAAAATAAAATTTCAAAAAAATACTTTTCCATGTCAGAATGTAAATGCCATGCCTCAATTTCCATCTAGTCTTAAAGAAACCTGCAGTGGCAGGAAGAGAAATACTCACTCTGGCTCCAGAGGCCCAAGTTCCTGCAGGCACACAGCCAAGGGGACTTTACTAAAAGACCAGGATTCAGAATCCACAAGCTGAGTTACATGATTCAGAAGTCTGATCTCATAATCAAATTCAAGAATTCTCCAGTAACCTACAAATTCCAAATGGCAAACTTACCAAAGAACATTTTAAGTGAAGTGATTAGATAATCAATAACAAAGCAGGAACACCCTCTTACCCATAAGGCATTGTGGTGGCTACTGTTAATTGTCAACTAGACACAATCTAGAGTGCCCTGGGAAGAGACTGTCAGTGAGGGATAGCCTGGGGTAATCTGTGCTGTGTGATGCTGCTGATCATATCTGAAAATGTGTTCTCACAGCACAAAGAAGCCCGGCTCATTGAATGACAGATTCTGGTACAGAGTGGACGAGGAAAACAACCACTGGGGAATCAAGATTCCTTTCCCTATTTCTACAAATGCTGCCTACATATAAACACAGTGAGTTTTCCTTCAGCAGTAAAAAAATGAAGACATTTGAAGGAGAGTGGATGAACATGGAGAACATTATGCTAAGAGAAATGAACTAGACTGAGAAAGACAAATACCATGTTTTCTCGAATACATAGCATCTAGATTTAAATTTGTGTGCATGTGCATATGTGTGTGTGTGCATGTGTGTGTGTGCGTGTGCATGTGTGTGTGTGTGTGCATGTGCATATGTGTGTGTGTCTGTGTGTGTGTGTGAAGAGACAAACATTTATATGTAGGGTGTGAAGGAAGAAACAGGATTATAAGGAAGAGTTTTAGTGGAAGTGGGGAAGGAAGAAAAATTAAGGGAATATTCATGTTATTAAGCCAAAAGGAGACCTATTCACTGGGAAGAATGTTGTCACCGAGAGAAGGCAGACAGGTGATGGAGGGCTATGGGAAGGTGGCAGAACAAAGCATAAAGATACATACATGAAAATGTCACAGTGGGCTAGGTGGTGGTGGGGTGGTGGAACACACCTTTAATCCAGCACTCAGGAAGCAGAGACAGGCGAATCTCTAAATTCAAGGCCAGCTTAGTCTACAGGGTGAGTTCTAGGACAGCCAAGGTTACAGAGAGAAACCCTGTCTTTTTTCTTTTCTTTCTTTTTTCTTTTCCTTTTTTTTTTTTGTTTTGTTTTTGTTTTTGTTTTTTTCCAAGACAGGATTTCTCTGTATATCTCTAATTGTCCAAAACTCACTTTGGAGACCAGGGTGGCCTCAAACTCACAGAGATCCGCCTGTCTCTGCCTCCCTAAGTGCTTAGATTAAAGACTTGCACCACCACTGCCCAGCTGAGAAACCCGGTCTTTGAAAAAAAAAAACAAAAACAACAAATGTCACCATGGAATATGTCTCTTCGTATGCTAACCATAAAATTAATTTGAAATGCCCCTGGATGTGGTAATGTATCCCTATGACTCTAGCACTCTGGAAGCTGAAGCAGAAGAACCTCAAAAGTTCCCTGCAGCTGGCTACATAGCAAGTTCCAGTTCTAGGCCAGTCAGGGCTACACAGTGACACCTTCCAAGGATTTAATATGCCATTTTAAAACTGATGGCAGAGATATCACTTGCAAGCACATAGCTATCATTTTTCAAGGAAAATAATTCAATCCATATTCTGGGAAGTTGAAAGTATCATTAAGCACCAGGAATGGTGGCGGCACATGGCGTTAATCTCAGCACTCTGGAGACAGAGGCAGGCAGATCTGAGTTCAAAGCCAACCTGGTCCACAGAGAGAATTTCAGGACGGCCAAGGCCAGATAGAGAAACCTTATCTAAATAAAAGGAGGGGGGAGTGGGAGATGGATGCTTGCAGTTCTTTCTTTAACAGAATTTTCCATATTTAAGGGGCAAGGCACACAAAAGCTAATCTTGTTTGGACGATTATGAGCAAAATGAATAGAATATCCACCAAAAAATACTAATTTCTTTCTTCCTAATAGGTGAACAATCAAGTTGTTTCTCTAGGCAAGCTAAGAGTGGGTTCATAGCCAGGCATAGTGGCACATGCCTTTAGCACCAGTACTTGGGAAGCAGAGACAGAAGGATTTTCATAAGTTCAAAACTAGCCTGATCTATCTAGTGTAGTGATCCTCAACCTTCCTACTTCCTTTAACACCGTTCCTCATGTTGTGGTGACCCTCAACTATAAAATTATTTGTGTTGCCACTTCATAATCATAATTTTGCTACTGTAATGAGTGGTGATATAAAAATCTGATATGTAGGATATATGGTAGCTGATCCCTGTGAAAGGGGCGTTTGACTTCCAAAAAGGTTGAGAACTGTTGATTTAGTGAATTCCAGGCCAGCCAGGGCTATGTAGTAAGACCCTGCATCAGACAGACAGACAGACAAACAGACATATAAATAGATGATGGCTGAATAGGTAGATAGGTAAGTAGAGAGAGAGAGAGATGGGTGGATAGGTAGATAGATGATAGATAGATAGATAGATAGATAGATAGATAGATAGATAGAGACAGACAGACAGACAGACAGACAGACAGACGGCTCACAGATGCATACAAACATGAACTCAGTGACGACTCTAGATTCAGATGCCGACAAAAATGTCATACCCCAGAGCAGAAGTCAATCAAACCCTTAAAGGAGACGCCACAGAACTTCTTCTCCATCACCTCTGAGCTCAACATACCTGGATCTTTCACATGTGCTTAAATTATAAATAATGAATGGTCATCATCGAACTGGCAACAGCAGATGAAGAAGCACAACACACACTCTGAGCTACCTGAAAATTTAATGAAGCTGCTGAACTCATTTTGATCCAAAGATCTAGCACTGATGCCACGACTGTCATTAACACAATCCCAGACCCTTGCTAGGCCTTCACATTTTACCTATTTAAAAGTTGATTTAAGCCAGGCAGTGTTGGTGGATGCCTTTAATCCAGGAGGATCTCTGTGGATTCAAGGCCAGCCTGGTCTACAAGATCTAGTTCTAGGACAGGCTCCAACACTACTGAGAAACCCTGTCTCGGAAAAAAAAAAAAATCAAAAAACAAAACAAAACAAAATTTTATGGTGGCGCACTCGAGAAGCAGAGGCAGGCAGATCTCTGAGTTGAGGCCAACAGAGGCTAGGACAGCCGGGACTACAAAGAGAAACCCTGTCTCGAAAAACCGAAATAAATAAAAAAAATAAAAATTGATATAAATGAAAATATCTACTTGGTATTTAAGGACTTTTAAAGGGAAAGATCTGCAGTGAGTAATTAAAATGTCACTGTTCACAGACTGACAGATTGACCTTCATGTAAAGATCATCTTATAGGCTAGACAAAGACAAACATCAGCATCGTGTGTGTGTGTGTGTGTGTGTGTGTGCGCACACATGTGTGCACGCTCATGTATGTGGTCTCACACATATTCAAGAAATACTCTTACGCTCCTGATATCATTACCTTTGAAGTTAAAAGGAAATTAAATAAGCATGCAACACGGTTAAGGTACCCCAAAGCTTCTTGCTTGCTTATGATACAATTTCACCATATGAATGGGAGCAGTTACATACACTACCTCCAATCTCACAGGCATTTAGGACTTGCAACTGGGTCATTAGTTCTTCTTCACTTGCCTGAATTTGATCAAGCAAATCTTCAGTTGTATACTGAAACACACAAGCAAAATAGATACATATCTAAATGGTTTGAGAAATATTACCTTCTTAGTTTTCTTATTGAGTTTTGGAGAGTCAGTAAATACAGCTGGTTGAAACACTAATAGTTTCCTTTATTAACGCATAAATGATCATAATACAAAATCAAAATATGTCTGAAAACAGGAGCAAATCTTCATGTCATTGCACTCGGCAATGGTTTATTGAACAGGACACTAAAAATACAAATGACAAAAAGAAAAGACATATCCAGGTGTGATGGCACACCCTGTAATCCTAGCACGTGGGAAGCTGAAGGAAGAAAAATTTGAGTTAGCCTAGTGCAATCCTATCTAAAAAGAAAAACAAAAACAGAGAACAAGAAAAGGAGGGGGAAAGGGAAGAGAAGGAAGAGGAGGAGGAAGAAGAGGAGGAGGAGGGTGACTGGAGTCATCAACCAGACTTTATAAAAAGGATAAAGTTTTATACTTCAGAACACTATTTGCTGGTCATAGCGCTGAATACCTGTGATCGGCATCCTCTGGAGGTAGAGGCAGGGGGTCTCAAGATCTGGTCTAAGAGCTGGGAAGATGTCTCAACAGCTATGATTTTTAATAGGTAAAACACTTGCCATTGTGAGCCTGATACCTGAGTTTCATTCCTGAAACCCACATAAAGGTAAGAGAGAACTGACACTATAAAGCTGTCCTCTGACCTCAACATTCATGTCATAGGACGTACACCCACCTCTCACATATATGTTCAAAAGATGCCAATCTAAAAAAAGGGGCTGCTGAAATGGCTCTGTAGGTAAAAGTGGTTGCCACCAAAGTCTGATGACTGAAGTTCAATGCCCAGAATCCACAAGGTAGGAGAGAGAACCTGATCCCGCAAATTGACCTCAGACCTCCATACTCACCACCACCACCTACACACCACACATACCAAATAAATAAATGTAAAATCAAGACACCTATCTATACAAAGGACAAAAAAATATATGTTTGTACTTTTATGTTGTGTTAATAGTGAAATTCATAAAGATAAGAAGTAGTGAGTTGTTGCCATTTTCTGGGGGGGCAGTTATTATTTAATTGGTAGGGAGTTTATAAAGATAAAAGTTGTAGAGATGGGTGGTGTTGATGATGACACATCACCATGAACACACTAAATGCTACTGAACTTATTAAAATGGTAAGTGCTGTGTGATATGTATTTTATCACAGTAAAAAATAATCAAGTTGACAGGCAGTGGTGGTGAATACCTTTAATCCCAGTACTTGGGAGGCAGAGACAAGTGGAGCTCTGTGAGTTGGAGGCCGACCTGGTCTACAGAGCGAGTTCCAGGAGAGGCTCCAAAGCTACAGGGAAACCCTATCTCAAAAAAAAAAAAAAAAAAAAAAAAAGAAGCAACAACAACAAAAATCATCATCATCATTATCATCATCAAGTCAAACTAAATATTTTAATCCCAGCACTTTGAGGCAGAGGCAGGCAGATCTCTGTGAGTTTGAGCACAGCCTGGTCTACAGAGTGAGTTCCAGAACACCCAGAACTACACAGTGAGACCTTGCCTCAAAAAACAAAAACAAAAATCAAGTCACATTTTTAATCCTAGCACTCACAAGACACAAGCAGGAAGATTGCTCCAAGTTCAGAGTCAGTCTGATGTACATAGAGAGTCACAGGCCAGGAGAGAGAGAGAGAGAGAGAGAGAGAGAGAGAGAGAGAGAGAGAGAGATTAAGAAAGTAAAAGAATAAAAGTAAAAATCTTTGCATCATGTATGTTTGTCTATATATCACCTTTTTATAAGAAAGATAAGCAAGTAACAATTTAAGATGAGGGAAAAGAACAGACATGTCCCTAAAGACATATAAATTGCCAAAAAAGCCGAGAATGTTGGCACACACCTGGACTTTCAGCATTAAGGAGCAAAGTTGAGGCAGAAGCCCAGCTTGGAAGTCCAGGTGTGTGCCATCAGTGCCAGGCCAGTGTTCGAAATGTTTATAAAAATACAAATTTAAAAAATAAGACTATCATCGGTAATAGATGATCACACACACACACACACACACACACACACACACACACACACACATAACCCCAGCACATGAGGAAGCAGAGGCAGGGAGGAAGCTGCAAGTTCCAGGCCAGCTAAATCAATTTTTTTTTAATAAACATTACATTTTAAAATTTCAAATAAAACCAGGAAATAATAATCTTACCTTTGAGCGGCTTGGATCATCTTCTTTTTGAGTGCCAGGGCCTTCATAGGTATTTTCCATCAGAAGTCTCTTTAGCTTTTTTAATTTAGGTCTGCATCTTCTTAACTCCCAATAATTATTAGAGAAACCAAAGATCTAGAAATCACAATGCAGCAATAAGTCTTTGTGGCCTTTCTAAAAGATAAAACATTCCCACAAAGTCATCTTCGCTCCGTAGTACCTTTCCAGTCATCTCAACTACTTTGCAAAGCCTATTAAGAAAAGCACTCCTGGGACCAGAAACTATCCTGGATGCATGAACTGACTCTTTGGAGCCCATTCCTTATGGGATACCTTACTCAGTCTTGATGCAGGGGTGATGGGCTTGGTCTTGCCTCAACTTGGTATGCCTGACTTTGTTGACTCCCCAAGAGAAGCCTTATCCCCTCAGAGAAGTGAATGGGGGGAGATAGGATGGGGGATAGTAGGGAGGCAGGAGAAGGGGAGGGAGGGGGAAATGGGGTTGGTATGTAGCATGAAAAAAATTCTTTAAAAAAAAGACAAAAAAGCACTACCACTGAGCAGTGGTGGAGCATCCCTTTGATCCAGCACTCAATAGGCAGAGGCAGGTAGATCTCTGAGTTCAAGGCCAGCCTGGTCTACACAAAGAAACCCCGTCTCAGAAAAAAACAAACCAACAAATAAACGGAAAAAAAAGAAAAAAAAAAAAAAAGGAAAAACACTGCCAATAAAATGATCATCAATACATGAACATCCCATCTCAGGAATGCTCTAGAAACACTCTGGAAGGAGTGAATTGGTGGCAATTCTACCAACCAGATGGAAACGACTGAAAATAGAAAATAAATAAGAAAACTGCCAAGCACAGTGGTGCATAGAATCCATGCAGGCCAAACACCCATACATATAAAATAAAAATAAAGCATTCAAAACAAAACACAGGTCTGGCATGGCGGGCAGTTCATGGTTTTAATCACAACACTCAGGAGTCAGAGGGAGGTGGATTTCTATGAGTTCCAGACCAGTCAGGAGTACACGGTGAGACTCTGTCTCTGTCTGTCTGTCTGTCTGTCTGTCTGTCTGTCTGTCTCTCTCTCTCTCTCTCTCTCTCTCTCTCTATATATATATATATATATATATATATATATATATATATATATGTATGTGTATATATCACGTACATGGCAGCTGACAACCATCTAGAACTTCAGTTCCAGGGCTATTTGACACCCTCTTCTGGCCTCAAAGGGTGCTACATGCACATGGTTTAGACATAACATGCAGGCAAGACACCCACACATAAAATTTTTACAAAATAAATACAAAATAAAATTAATTTCAAAAAGCAGAACAAGTTGCCTAATAGCAAACAGACCACATTAAGAGAAAGATTGGAGGGCTGGAGAGATGACTCAGTGGCTAAGAGCACTGGCTGCTCTTCCAGAGGTCCTGAGTTCAATTCCCAGCAACCACATGATGGCTCACAACCATCTATAATGAGATCTGGCACCCTCCTCTGGCGTGCGGGCACACATGGAGGCAGAAATGTAGTATACATAATAAATAAACAAATCTTTAAAAAAAGAGAGAGAAAGATTGGATGTGTCTAAGGCAAAAAAGACAGCCAAAGTGGAAAAATAAAGAGAATTCACAAATTCAAAAAGAACTAAAATAATATTGAAAATTCTCAAACTTTATTAAAGAATTTTTTAGATTCCCTATGATAACATGTATCTTACACCAAAAGTTTTTAACCAAAGGCAAACTTAGAACACAGACTGCCTTCTCAAACATGCGCATAGGACAAAGTCGTACCTCGTTGTGAACAATGTTACTCTGGGCTTCCTCCCTCTTCAGCTGGTCTGGAGTTTTGCAGCCAGGGATGACAAGCAGCATATTGGATGTGTCCGCTATCTTCAGGTCATAGGTTTTGTCTTGACTGCACAGCACAGCTTGTTCATCTTTGTCCCCTCGAATCACAAAACTACAGGAACGTGGAGGGCAGAAAGACACGGCTCCCTGAGACATTAGCGGATCGCTCATTTCAAATACTGCCCAAATCCTCTGACTTCCAGATTGAAAATTAAGCCTTGGGGCTGCACCGGTGGTACTTTGAAAAACAAATCCACCCCCACACCCTACCCCCAGGTTCAGACATTTGAACACTTGGTCCCCAGCTGGTACACTATTTGGGGAGATTTAGGAGGTGTAGTCTTGCTGGAGGAAGTATGTCACTGAGAGCAAGTTTTCAGAGTATAGAGCCTTGCCTTCTTCCAGTTCCCTCTCTCAGCTTTGTGCTTGCCGTAAAAGATGTGTCTCTCAGCTTCCTACTCTCACCGCATGCTGTCTCATCACGATGGACCCTTAACTCTTTGGAACCATAAGCCCAAATAAACTTTTCCTTCTAGAAGCCGCCATGGTCAACGTAGGGATTTTTGTTTCTTTGTTTTGATTTTCTTTATCACAGAAACAGCAAAGGAATTGATATAGTGCCCTGTGGTACGATAATGGAGTCCACAGAGAAAACAAAAGAAAACAACAAAAACAAAAACTGGGACTTTTGAGAGTTACCTATCTGTTTGGTACCTAACCAAAGAAAAATAATTAAATACAGGCACCACTCAAAGAGACCAGAGGGCCAAATGTCACCACAGACATGCTAAGAAAATCAGAAGATACTGCATCCCGATACTTTAGTCAGGATGCTGTGGCCTTCAGCCGGCTGAAGGGTCATTGGTGACACTCACTTGTGATTCTAGCAAGGGAGGTGGAGGCAAGAGGGTCAGAAAATTCAAGGCCAGCCTCAGCCACGTAGAGGGTTTGAGGTCAGCCTGATCTACTTGAGATTCTTTCTAAAAACAAAGCAACACCACAACCAAAACAGCAAACCAAAAAGCAAAAGAAAGAGAATGATTCAGCATCTTCTAAAACAGGCTTTACTGTAAAGTGGTGCTTTACTTCTCAGACATACACAGAGACTTCTTGGAGAAGACCAGCAGACTGGGATATGGTGGGTCTGGGATGAGACGGAAGAGTCTGCATCTCTAAGCAGTTCCCAGATGATGAGTATGAAGCTGGTACCCACTCAAGTTATCCTCAGTTCGCGGCATAGCCTAATCATCGGCTACGTGGCAAAGAAATGGGACCCTGGCAACAGAAGGCTGGAGCACTGCGTGAGAGCTTTGTTTACAAGCTAGACTAAAGACTGGAGTTTGAGTATGGATGAAGGTGAGGAAGGAAGGAAGAAAGGCAAAGACGACAGACATGGTAAGGTGTTGGTTCTGTGTTACCTATGACCAACTTTCCTTAAATAAACAACTTTCCTTAAATGATTAACCTAAAAAAGGAGACTAAAACTAAATCTTTAGTTTAGTATAAAGAATAAGAAGGGTATTTTTTTGTTTTTTGTTTTTGATTTGACTCTTGGTGTCAATAATGTTTAATTCAGTGGTTCTCAACCTGTGGGTCAATACTCTTAGGGGATTTCATATATATCCTGTATACCAAATATTTACATTATCATTCATAACAGAGCAAAATTACAGTTTTGAAGTGACAAAGAAATATTTTTATGGCTGGGAATCACTACAACATGAGGAACTGTATTAAAGGGTCGCAGCATTAGGACGGTTGAGAACCGCTGGTTTAATGGGTCGAAGCGCTTAATCCTTAACAGTCATTTCTACATCTACATTCTACATCCTATTACTCCCACTCCAAAACACTTTTGTTAGGAGAAAAGCAAGATCAGGAGTTCAAGGTCACTCTCGGCTACAAGACCAGCCGAAGCCAGTCTAGGATACATGAGACCCAGTTTCATAAAAACCAAAACCAATGTGCAATCATACCACAAGGATACTTGCTCAGCTATGTTCATAGCAGCATTATTCATAATAGCCAGAACCTGGAAACAATCTAGATGCCCCTCAACCGAAGAATGGATAAGGAAAATGTGGTACATTGACACAATGGAGTACTGCTCAGCTGTAAAGAATGATGACCTCGGGCTGGAGAGATGGCTCAGAGGTTAAGAGCACTGCCTGTTCTTCCAAAGGTCCTGAGTTCAATTCCCAGCAACCACATGGTGGCTCACAACCATCTGGAATGGGGTCTGGTGCCCTCTTCTGGCCTGCAGGCATACACACACAGACAGAATATTGTATACAAAATAAATAAATATTTAAAAAAAAAAGAATGATGACCTCATGAAATCTGCAAGCAAATGGATAGAACTAGAACAAAATCATTCTGAGTGGGGTAACCCAGACCCAGAAAGACAAACATGGTATGTACTCCCTCATAGGTGGTTATTAGGAGTAAAGTGTAGGATAACCAACCTACAATCCACAGTCCCAGAGAAGCTAGATAATAAGGAGAACCCAAAGAGAGATGCATGGATTTCCCTGGGAAGGGGAAGTAGAAAAGATCTCCTGAGTAAATGGGGGGAGGGGGGCTGGGAGGATGGAGAGGGGAGGAGGGATACAAAATAGAGGGAATGGGTTGGGCAGGCTGGGTGCAGGAGGTGAGTTGGAGGTAGGATGGAGGGGGAGAGGAACAAAAGAGACATCTTGATGGGGGTGAAGTTCGGGGTTAGGGAGAAACCTGGTCCCAGGGAAACCCCCAGAAATCCACAAGGATGACCCTAGCTCAGACTCCTAGCAGTGGTGGAGAGGGTACCTAAACTGGTCATCTACTGTAAGCAGATAGGTGACTTCCCTAATTGTCATCAGAGGTACTCTATTCAGTAACGGATGGAAGCAGAGGCAGAGATCCACAGATAAGCACTGTGCTCAGCTCCAAGAGGCTTGCAGAAGAAGAAAGGAAGGAGGGATTGTACCCGTCAGGGGATCATCATGGGGGAACCCACAGAGACAGCTGACCTGAGCTCACAGGAGCTCATGGACGCTGGATCAACAGCCAGGGAGTTTGCATGGCACCAACCTTGGCCCTCTGCCAAGGTTTGCAGTTTAGCTTGGTCTCTTAGTAAGGCTTCTAACAGTGAGAACAGGACCTCTCCCCTGCGTTTAGCTGGCTTTTGGTAACCTGTTCCTCATGCTGGATTACCTGGGGAGGAGCTCAGTCCTGCCTCAACTTGATGTGCCATGCTTTGTGCAACCCATGGGAGGCCTGTCCCTTTCTGAATGGAGATGGAGGAGAAGTGGGTGGGGAGGGGGTAGGTAGGAAAGAGGAGGGGAGAGGAGGGGAAACTGGTTGGCATGTAAAATAAATGAAAAAAGTTATTTAAATAAAAAAACAAATGTTTCACAAAGTTCTTCAAAAGAAAAAAAAGTGAGGGGTATGTTTTGTTCCAATTTTTGTTCAAAAATTAAATAAGAAGGTCAAGGTAACAGTTCATCAGGTAAAAGCCTCTAGGAAAGGCCAGATGCACTCATGGGCCAGAACTGTAGGCAGATGAGGGGGTGGAGACAGAAGAATCGGTCAGAGTACACAGCGAAGCCATAGAAACAAGACATTCTACCTCCCTCAAAGAGGAGAGAACTAACTCCTGACACACAGAGAGAAAGAGAGAGCTGGGGGCTGTAGCTCACTCCATTGGTAGAAGGCTTGCCTAGTCTGCACTGCACAAAACCCTGAGCTCACTCTCCAGCACTGCATAAGGCCAGTAGTAGTACACACCTACAATCCCAGCACTGCAGAGTCGGGAAGGCAAGAGGATTAGAAATTAAAGGACATCCTGGGCTACAGAGTGAGTTTACAGCCAGCCTGGCTAGAGACTCTACCTGGCGGAGAAGGTTAAAAGACATGTTTTTAATATTTTTAGCTTTGCCAACTAAGTTAAATAATTACTATAAAGTAACTGAACAAAGAAAAGATCCTTCACACCTGAAGTCCTTCTTAGTCTCCAATTCAGGAAGGAAACAGCCAAACGGAGGTTTTGGGCAATTCTCTTAAGGATACTTTGTGAAACTCAAAGAGAACCTAAATGGTCTGACTCACATGAATCTAGGGGAGGAATCAAAGCTTAGTAAATACAAGAAGGAACTGACTTGGAGGAGTCAGGTCAGCACAAAATAAACGGACCCAAAACAAGTTGAGGAGAATGACAGGATGGCTGATTCGGTAAAGGGGCTTGCCTCCGGAAGAGCCGCAAATACCCTTAACCATGAACCATCTCCAGTCAGCCCCTAATTTTCATCTGCTCGCCCCTCTGCCTCTGCACCGTACTGGGGATCCATCTATGGCCTGAAATCTCTAACATAAGCACTTTACCACTAAGCCCAAACCAGTCCCAGCTAGGGCTCCTAGGTTTTAAAATCCAGGTCTTGGCAGCAAACTTAGAGTTGACCTGGAATTAAAAACGGCTCCAGATCTCCTGTCAGTGACCCCCAACCATATCTGCATTCGGCTTTAAACGTTTGCCTTATCTGTCCCACCTACCATCTGAGTAAAAGAAGCCCAAGTGAAAGGCAGGAACGCTATAAAGATACTGACGCTACGGTTTGCGACAAAACAACTGTGTTCTGTAGAGTCCTTAGCATCACTGGTGAAGCCTTCAAAACTCCCTGGAACTCTCTTCCTGGCATTCTCCCGCTGGCATCTAAGTTCAGCTGAGTCCGCTAAGACGTCAGTCTAGCAGAGGCACGGACGCCTCCCGGCAGATGACAGCAAGCTGGGGATCCGCCTACCAGCCTGTATTGGGCCAATCAAAGCAACTCTCTGGACCAGTTCGTCATTGAGTTCCCGCACTACAAAACGCGGCAGGTGGGCTGGAGATCGCGTGCCCGTGGTCCCCATCCCGACTCACCTGTGGCCGGCCTCCAGCTGCTGGCACAGTGCGGGCTCCAGCTCCAGCAGGCAGAAGTCGCCGGCGGCCGCGCCGCTGGTGCCGGGGCCGAAGCTCAGGCAGTGCACGGTGGGCAGCAGCTCGGCGGTGTTCAGCTTGGCGACCTGCAGCGTCGCGTCCACCTCCTCGCGTGTCCTCCGCGAAGTGGGCGGTTGAGGCATGTCGCGGCACCGAGAGGGGCGTGTCGCCGGCCGCGGAGATCCGAGCTCCCGGGACTTCAAAAGCGCGCCCAATCCTCCGGAGCGGGCTTCCGGGGGAGGAACGGGGCGTGTCCGGGGAAAGTCGGAAAGCGTCCTGACGCGCGAGTCACAGGGCTGCAGGTTACCAAGTGCAAGTCCCGGATTGCTGAATGGAAGCACGCATTTCCCCTGAGGACTCCTGGAAGCTCGTGTTAGCCGTTCTGCTTCCCGGCGGGGCCAAACACAGAGCTTGCACCCACCCCTTCCGCCGCCCTGTGCCCGCCCCCTTCTTTCCCGCCAAAGCTTCCTTTTCTCTCCTGCTGACGAGCTACTTGCGTACAAAATTTCTTTAACCGGTATCCACGACCCAGTAAGGCAGGATCCTGGCGATCCCTTCATGAAAACGGAAGCAGGATGCCTGGAGACGGCAAAGCCTGAATCCAGCCTGCTCTATGATGGCTCCAAAGTCGCCCTCGCTAGATTTGTGTAGACAGTTCAGGCTCAGGAAATAGAACCTGGAAGTATCAGATGAGGCATCTGACTTGTTTGGGCTTGGAGACCATCATTGATATGACATAAAGCTTCCCGTTCGTTAAATACTTCGTTTGTGCTAAGTGGCACATGAGACTTCTCTCCGCGGAAACCAGCCGGCTCCAGGGAGAGTACAGCTAAAATTTGGCACTTGCAGGATGTGATGTTTTCTTGACCAAAGTTTGCAATGACTTCAAACTGTTTTAAGATGAAAACCCATGAACTTGTAACCGCTTGATTGTGAGGGATGCCAGCAGACTCCCACGGATCTGGCTGCCCATGAAAGTTGAAACAGCATAAAACGAATAATTCTTTTTAGAGGGGGGTGTCCTCCTACTTTTTCCTGAAAGTTAATGAAGTAAAAGAACGTGTTGGTTGAGGATAGGGAAGAACTGAATTCAAAGAAAACGAGCAAGATTGTTCGTCGTTTGTTTTTCCCTAGCCTTTTGATGAAACAATGGGAAAACAACAGAACAGAGCATCCCAGCGTCCGCCTGAAGTTTTAGTTGCCGCCTGGAGTTTTAGTTGGAAGAAAAATTAATCTATCACCTCATTAATCTTCTTTTTTACTGTGGTATCATATGCAGGCGGATCTCAGTTAGTTCCAGGCCAGCCTGCTCTACAGAGCAAGTTCCAGGACAGGCTACACAGAGAAACCCTGTCCTGAAAAATAAAACAAACAAAAAAACATCTGAACCACCTGGTATGATAGGGCAACATCAGGAAGCAGAAGCAGGTGGATTTCTATGAGTCTGAGACCAGCCTGGTCTACATAGTGAGCTCCAAGCCAGCCAAAGCTACACAGAGAGACCCCATTTCAAAAAGCAAAAATCTGAAACCATAAGGAAAATGGTGGAGCAATATATGGAACATCAAAGTGTTGAGAATTTGCTACTGGGTATCAGTGAGATGGCTCAAGGTTATAAGTGTTTGCCTTGCAAGACTAATGAATGGCCTAACTTCAATGCCCAGAACACAGTGGAAGGAGAGACCCAACTCTCAAATGTTGTCCTCTGACGTGTACACATTCACAATGGCACACATTCACCCATACATTCACATACACGTAAACACACACAATAGTAATAAATAAAATAAGAAATATTATTTAGAAGATAACCAACCATTGAAAATGAACTATTAAAATGGAAACATTTCAAGGTGCTCACTACCAAGTCTGATGACCTGAGTTCAATTCCCAGAACCCACAGGAGGAGAGAAACAACTTGTGCAAGTTGTCCTATGACCTTGTGCCATAGTAAGTGTGCACCTACACACACGATAATAACATAAAAAAAATTTAGCCAGGTGGTGATGGCGCAGTACACCTTTAATCCCAGAGCTCTGGAGACAGAGGCAGGTGGATTTCTATGTTCAAAGCCAACCTGGTCTACTGACCTAATTCCAGGACTGCCAGGGCTACACAGAGAAACAAAAAAAACCAAACCAAAACCAAACAAAAAACAATTAAGGGCTTCTCAGTCAGCCCCCATGTCAGACAAACGACTCTGGTTTGATCACATGCTCGTTCAGTCCCAGTCCAGCTGGCCTTGGTGAGCTCTCATTCGATCAGTCCCCGGCACTGGGTCTTGTTTTGTCTGCATGTACTGGCTTTCTGGGCTCCTAGTCTGTTTGGATGGTCACCTTCCTAGACCTGGAGGGACAGGGGAAGAACTTGAACTTCCCACAGGGCAGGAAACCCTGACTGCTCTTAGGACTGGAGAGGGAGGAGGAGAGGGAGGGGGGGGAGGAGAGAGAGTGGGAGGAATGGGAGGGTATGGGGAGGAGGGGAGGAAGTGGAAATTTTTATAAACAAATTAATTAATTAATTAAAAAATATAAAATAAAAAAAACAATTAAGGGTTGGGAGCCTTTTCTACAATAATCAGAAGTAGCATAAGATAGGGGGAATGGATATTTTGAATAGACAGGTCTGACTTGGAATCCTGTCCTCAGAGTGATATCCAGCAATTAGGTTTTTTTTTTTCTTCATTTTTGTTGTTGTTGTTTTTTGTTTGTTTGTTTGTTTTGGGTTTTGGAGATAGGGTTTCTATGTAGCTTTGGAGCCTGCCTTGGAACTAGCTCTGCAGACCAGGCTGGCCTTGCACCCTCAGAGATCTGCCTGCCTCTGCCTCCTGAGTGCTGGAATTAAAGCCACGCCTAGCCATCTTATTTCCCTTCTTGCAAATTGGTCTTGGATTCCTCTATTAAAATTGATGTTTGCAGGGGCTGGAGAGATGGCTCAGAGGTTAAGAACATTGCCTGCTCTTCCAAAGGTCCTGAGTTCAATTCCCAGCAACCACATGGTGGCTCACAACCATCTGTAATGAGGTCTGGCGCCCTCTTCTGGCATGCAGGCATACACACAGACAGAATATTGTATACATAATAAATAAATAAATATTTTTAAAAAAATTGATGTTTGCACCAAAGGGTACTAGCACAGGCTGCTAGGGAAAGGCAATTGTCACCAAGAGCCATGGATCCTAGTGTCCTGAGCCACCCTTTTTGGGTGACTTCTGCCATGGTCCAGCCATGGTAGGCTCACACAGTCCAGGGTAGGGCGTGAGGATTAGAAATGTTTGGTAGGAGGAACAGAGACAAGAAAGAAACACAGAGACATTGGATAGTAGCAGAAAGACAACTCCATGGATACTGAATGCTGAATTCTGAGTTCTGAGTTTGCTTATGTCTAATTTTCCATACACTTTTATATCCCAATACAAAAAGGGAAAGAGGGCAAAAGACTGGTTTAAAAGGACACAAAGGACAACCCGACTGTTACTTGCTTCGATATTTGAGACATCAAGCCATTAATTCCTGAGCAAAGCATTAGATGTTTGGTGCAGTGAACACACCCCAGACAAGAATCCTGCAGGCAGCTACTTTCTAAAGTCAAACCTCCTATTTCAAAAGAAGGTGCAGAAGTACACTTGAATTCTCTTGCCTCTGTTCGGGTAGAGCAGATCTACCTCCGTGAACCATCTTGATATCAAAAGCACCAGGTAACCACACCCTAGGATATCTTGTTTTGTAGCCACACCTGTTGTCAACAACTTTGAAAGCCACAAACTTAAGCTTCAGATAAGGTACAATAGGCTCACATTTTTTGGGTTCCCACACCCTGGGTGCCACATTAGCAACCAAGTAGACAAGATGGACACGATAACACTGTCTTGCTATAGTGGTAAGTCCGTTATGAGGTAGCCAACCTCCTTCTGACTGGAGTTGAAACTTGCTCCACATGAAGGAGTTCATGTTTGGTGCTGTAAACCTGGTCCAAAAAAACATGTTTAGGAGCCCTTAGGACCTCATGGGGAAACTACCGCTGATGTTTGATTACATGGACATGGTGTCCCTTCAAATAACTACATCTACTGTTGTAGATTAGTGCTACTCTTAGCTTTTATCAGAGAAGTGTCTTCTTGCTGTGGCCAGAGGTGACTGCAGAGATTCATAATGGGTCACAGTGCTGAGAATAGTGACTTTTGAGGGTTTGGCCATAAATATGGCACCTGTGTTATCCCTCCCAAGGCTCAGGGAAAGGAAGCAGAAAGGAAAAGGTAGCAGAAAGAACGTTAAAGCCAGAGGATCGGGTGGAATGTTGAGGAATGCTGTCTTCTGAGCGTGGTATGGCCATGACAGTCTTGAACTCACAGCAACCATGACTCCTGCAATACCTATACAAGACTGGGCTCATCAACGTCTTGTCTTAGAGGGAGGGGACTCAGGAGGTTTCTACCATTCTCTGAAGATTTATAGGTAGCTGAAAAGTTTCTTCACTCCATCAAATCAACAATTCAAATCAGACCAAATCAAACCCAATTAGAAAAGGCCTAGGTTGAATGGATAAAACACTCCTGGATGATTTTCCAGTGCCTCAGAGAAGAGATGGGAAAGGAAGACTGGAAAACCATGCGTCTGTTTGGAGGGGGCAGTTTAAGTAATCTGTGGGGTGATATTGGTCTTGAGCATCTCTCTGAGATGTGGCAGGGTTTGGAGCAAGATGGAAGAGGGGACTTGGGATGGAGCTTCCATCTGAACATTCCAGACTCTTTGGGTATATGGATGCCAGGAGCTGGGGTGAACCTTCCACCCAGACAGTAGCTAATGTAGCTTGGGGAAGAAGAGACACTTTCTTTAGTGGTGTAGTCACTGGTATATTGCTCATACTCATGTAAGTAACCGCTTGCCCATATTCCTGTAAGCAACCCTAGGGAAATTCATTGGGTCATGGGGAGATAGAAGAGAGTCTAGCTAGAAGGAGGGAGGAGATCAGTGAGAGTGGGTAAGGGACAAGAGGGCATTCGTTACTTTTCTGTTCCATAACAAAACAGGATGATGAAGGAATCTTACAGAAGAAAGTGTCTATTTGTGTTGAGGATCCCAGGGGGGCTAATAGTCCGTGATGGCAGGGATAGCAGTGAGGCCAGAGACACCTGGGACAGGAAACTATGAGCTCACATTTTGAAGCAGAGTGATCAAAATTCAGATAAGCAAGGTTTCTTCCTTTCAAAGCTCTCCTCCAATGACATAGTTCCTCCAGCACCTCCTAAACCTCTCCAAACAGTGCAGCCAGCTAAGTGAATGAATGCTCAAGACGATGGAAAACTTCTATCATCACCCACCACAGGAGAAAATGCGGAGGGTTAACTGTGATCAAACTGCATTATGTTCATGTGTGAAAACGTCAGAACCCGTTATTATCTATAATTAATATATGCTAATA